TGCCGCATGTCGCGCACCGCAAAGCGGCCTGCCGGGAGAGGCGTGTGAGCGACTGGGTCCCGCCCTGCCGACCCGGATGCACCGCTCAAGCGCACTAGGCGCTCGCAGCATCCAGCGGGCCACGGCCTTTTAGCTTCCTAGCTGCCACGGTTGCCTGGCAACCCTGCCTACGTTATGGCAGTTGTCTGCGATTAGCCACCAGGGCAGGCCAGGTCATTTTGTCTGGAGGTCGCTAGACTAGCTGTGGGCCTCTGGGACAAAGCTCAAGCGACCTTCATCAACAGAGGGACACCGTCCTCGGTTTGCCACCTGCACTCAGTGACACAGAGACCGAGAGTCTCCTACTAAGCTCTATGATTAAGCTCAAGAGAAAAGCCTACAAGGCAAAGAAGCCTCCCCCGAAACCTCCCCCAGCGGTCCTCTGCCGCATTCTGGATCAGCCCCCTCTTCCAGGGCACCCCTGCTCACCAAGAGGTGGGTACTGTGAGAAGCTCTCCACACACATGGGCTTCCCGGGCACCATCTCTACTATGGCTGCATCACCGGACTTCAGGGACTTGGGGTTGTCCTCCAGCTTCTTGCCAGAGCGCCGGTCGATCTTCTCCTTCAGTTCAGCAAACTTACAGGCAATGTGGGCCGTGTGGCAGTCAATGACTGGCGAGTAGCCAGCGCTGATCTGCCCAGGGTGGTTCAGAATGATGACCTGAGGGAGGAGACGCAGCAGCTGTGAGCCTTGCCGGGCCTGGCCACATGTGTGGGCACCCAGGGAGAGGCCAGCTGGGCTGGGCAGCTGCAGTCACCAGGCCTGCTTCCCACATCCTCCAGGGCCCGGGTTCTGACAGCAGAGGAAGCTCGGGCCATGGGGAACGCAGCTCCTTGACCCCAATGTCCTCACTTGTCACCCATGGATACTAGAGTGGGTTTGGCAATGTCAGGCCTCAGTTACTGCATTTCAAACGCATCTCAATAAAATTGCCTTTAAAAATTGTCCTGTGAAGAAGTGATAAAAAAGTCTATAATAAAAATGTAGGGAATGTTACAGGGATCTCTGGGGCAGTAAGTTAATAAAAAGTGGTTTTTAGGACAAACATGGAGCCTCAAGGTGGACATCGCAGCTGCTGTGACCAACAGCAGGCCTGGGCGTCTGCTCCTGCTGCATGTGACTCTGAGCACTCACTTAACCTTGGGGGCCTCATGGTGAAACCAGGGACTGTGTCCTCAGCAGAAGGTGAAGTGCTGGCCACAACCTCCCCGGCTTTGCTCTGGACAGGAGTGGGGCCCTGAATGCCAGCACAGCCTCCCACCTGGGAGGTGAACTGGGCAGCCTCCTGAGGCGGATCAGACTTGCTATCCCCACACACGTTGCCCCGGCGGATATCCTTGACGGACACGTTCTTGACGTTGAAGCCAACGTTGTCACCAGGCAGGGCCTCGCTGAGCGCCTCGTGATGCATTTCCACCGACTTCACCTCCGTGGTAATGTTTACCGGTGCAAAAGTAACCACCATGCCCGGCCTAAGGATGCCCGTCTCCACTCGGCCCACGGGCACAGTGCCAATACCTGGGCCAAAAAAGAAGCTGTGAGCGGAGGAGAGGCAGAAGGGAATGCAGGGAGCAAGACATTTAGGCAGATGGTACTCGGTCCCCCTGGCAAGGCTGGGAGCAGCGACCCTTGGAGGGAGTGAGAGCACAGGGCGAACCAAGATGCCAGCAGGAGCAGAGGCTTCCGGGCTCAGTTCGGTAACTAAGACAAAAAGGACCATTCCTAAGAAGTCTGGGATTAGGGACAGGGAACCGTGGGGCGAGAATTCAATCCCCTCCCGCCCCAGGGGGCAGCTGTCTCTCAGAGGAAGCCATATGGGATCCCCTCCTCTCTCTGAGGACCACTTCTGTGCCCTCAGGCTGCAGCAGCAGAGCAAGGTATGGGCCAGTCCATGGGACCCACAGAGAGCTGCGTGGCAGCTCTGGCACTGAAGGGGCATCTATATCCAGCACTTCTTGCTGACCCGCTTACACCCAGCCTGGGGGTGGAGGTTCTCCACCCTCATATGACTGTGGAAGGGGCTGTGATGATGGAGCCCTGCGTGGCATCACAGCATGCTGGAGGCTGAGGGAGGGAGCTCTCTGCATGCACGCTGAGGTGAGCGAGACACTCTCACCCTGCACACATCTTTGGCCATGGTCTTCTGGCCCAGGGTACCTGGTCATTCTCCCTCCTGAGGATCTCATCTTGGTTTATGGTTTCTCCCTCATCTGGTGACCTCAACTCTCACTCTTGGGAGTGGGACTGTGTCTCCCACAAGGCTGGGCCTCCCGGGGCTGTGAAGTGTGTTACCACTGTGCCCCCATTTTGTGCCACCAGATTCCAGCCCAGAGCTGAGCACTTCCCCGGAGAGGGAGACCCTGGCAAATGCCCAGCAGATGGATGGATGGTAGAGGTGGGTGGGTGGGGTGAATGGGTAGACAGAGGGATGGGAGGGTAGACGGCTGGGGCTGTGCATCAGCTGGATGGAGGGAGGGAGACCACACGGTCAGACAGTCCCCCAGAAAAGGTGTGGTATGGGGGGAAGAGCTGTAAACACGGGAGGATATTATTGGGGGCTCCTTGTGGAGGGCCTCAGCTCAGGAAAGGGGTGAGGATTGGGAGCCAAGCAGGTGGACACCCACAGGGGAGCCGTGGGCTGTAGCACAGCACCCCCACTCACCGCCGATCTTATACACATCCTGCAAAGGCAGACGCAGGGGCTTGTCCGTGGGGCGGGTGGGGGGCAGGATGGTATCCAAGGCCTCTAGCAGGGACACGCCACTCGCATTCCCTTCCTTGCGTTCTACCTTCCAGCCCTTGAACCATGGCATCTGGGTAAGGGAAAAGGCACAGATTGATCTCAGGAACACCTACAGCTTCCCACCAGCAGACCAGGCCCCTGGTCCCCGTGGATGGCCCAGGATTCGGAGGAGGTACCTGCCCGAGGGGTGTTCTGGAGGAAGGAGCACAGACCCCACCCAGGCTGCCTGATACCAGAATGTTCCAGCCAAAGTTCTCTGTACCCCTCCAGATACCCAGCAACTAACTCAGCCTCACCCCCCAGCTCACATTCACAACCTCACAAGGCCATCAGACATATCTGTCTGATAAAAGGGGAGAAGGTAAAGAGAAAAATCCCCACCTTGTCTAGACTCTACTGCGATGCTTCTGACACTCAGGAATGAGCCCTCAGCTAGCCTGACTCCTTCAGATGCTGGGCAGGCAAATGCCAGAGCAGAAGGGACCAGGGACAGATTCCAGCTCCAGCAGCTCTGCAGGCCACTATGCTGTCTCCAAGCTCAGGAGCCACCCCTGCTGGGGCCTCTCTGGAGGCAGACTGTGAGGCTCCGTACACAGCCTCCCTCTGCCCACCCAACACACACAAGGAAAAGCAGGCCCATCCTCAGGGACCATGTGTCCTCCTGCCCTCATCTTCACAGCTGAATGTCAGACACCCCAGGTCAGACAGTGGGAGTGCAGCCTGGAGGCCTCCCCTGGGTCGAGGGAAGTCTGCTCGTCCATTACTGTGTCCCACAAGGGATAGCCAAGTCTAGGAAAACAACACTTAGCAAGCAAGATGGAGAGGGGTGGGGAGCACCCCACCTTTCCCAGCCCTGTCCCGACTACCAGCTCTAGACTCCATGCAGCTGCTCTAAGGTTCCCTGGCTCCACACCACCTCCTTCAGTTTGGGTGGCTGCCGAGCTGGCCAGAGCCAAGAGGCCACCCCTTCAGGCCAGTGATCTCCTCTAGCTGGACACCAGGAACATGGTCTCAGGTTCTGCAAAATGTTTCCATGCATAACCTCCAGTGAGTCAGAGTCCTGGGGCTGCAGACTGCCCAAGCCTCAAGCTCAAAGCTGACCAGCCGAGAGCCGGTCCTGGCCACTCCAGGAATGTGCACACTTCCAGAGCCCAGTCCCACTCCAGACTCCTAGGAAAGGCAGCCGGGAAGACCCCACAATCCTGCTAGTCCCACACAGTGTCCAGGGCCAGGACACTGGCCTGGGAGAGATTAAAATTAATCACATATGCCTGTGCCAGGCAGTCACTGCCCCTCCAGGAACGACCTGGGGATCAAGAATAGGACTCAGCTATCTCTGCTGGTTCTGTGGGGCAGCCAAGATGATGGAGTAGAATCCCTGGACCCAAGGATAGGCCTCCCCCTAGGCCCTGGCACCCCCTGGAGGCTGGTGTCTGTCCCTCCAATGCTTACACAAACCCAGCTGGACAAGGGAATCAGGGACCGGCACCCCAGAGCTCCCAGCTCTGCCCGCTTGTACCTCCCCTTGGCCAGTGCCCAAGCCCTCGGAGAGAGGTGACCTGCCTGCCTACCACACCCTCACCCCAGCCAGCACTCACGTTGGGCGAGGGCTCCAGCATGTTGTCCCCATGCCAGCCTGAGATGGGCACAAAGGGCACTGTAGCTGGGTTGTAGCCAATCTTCTTGATGTAGGCGCTGACCTCCTTGACGATCTCATCATAACGCTTCTCGCTGTAGGCTGGCTCTGTGGAGTCCATCTTGTTGACACCCACAATGAGCTGCTTCACTCCCAGGGTGTAGGCCAGCAGCGCGTGCTCCCGGGTCTGCCCATTCTTAGAGATGCCAGCCTCAAATTCACCCACACCTGCTGCCACGATCAGCACCGCACAGTCCGCCTACTCGGCAGGAGGGGCACCATGAGCACTGGGCCTCTACCTCCAGTCTAGCCCCGCCACACACAGAAGGGGCCCTGAGCGGCTCTGCTGGCGACGGAGTCTGGTGGGGTCCGCCTCAGTGGCAGCGTGGGGAGAGGTTTTGTTAGGGGTTTCGTTCACCAGGCCTTAAGTCGAGGAAACCCTCCTTCTGGGGACCAGCTCTGCCATGAGCTGGCTATGTGGCCCTGGAGCTGTCTCTCGTCTGTCTGTGTGCATGCCTCAGAGACGACTGCTTGTCCCGTCTGACTGTCTGCACTGCTGCCCACACCTCATCATCCCCATCCTGGTCCCTACTACTGTCTATCTCTGAAGGCTGCTGTGTGTCCACAACTGTCCCCTCTGTCTGGCCACCCCAACAGACAGTGGCTGGGTGGCCTTGCAGGCATCCCTACCTGGGTGAGGTGTCAGCCAGTAACTCAGTTATCTGGGGGTGCTATGGGCCAGGTGAGGGGCATGATGACAAAGGCAAGGGGTCCCCTGCCCACACCGCACCCACCTGGGATGTGCCGGTGATCATGTTCTTGATGAAGTCTCGGTGGCCCGGGGCATCGATGATAGTGATGTAGTATTTGGTGGTCTCGAACTTCCAGAGGGAAATGTCAATGGTGATGCCCCGCTCCCGCTCCGCCTTCAGCTTGTCCAGCACCCAGGCGTACTTGAAGGAGCCCTTTCCCATCTGGAGGGTGAGGGCACGGCTCAGGGTAGGAACCAGACTCAGCAGGCAGGCTGCTTGCCAGGGCTGCCCTGGGCTGATGGAGCAGCCAGTGAGAAGCAGGAGTGGGGTTCCAGCCCCCGTGCTCCCCTCTGGGTTCCTGAATCCTGGCCCCTGTCACTTGGACACCTGTGGTGCTGACACCAACACCAACACTGGTGTCAGGGCTGTGTACACGACATCCAGAGCCAGCCTCCTATCAGTTCGTAAATGGCCGGAGATGTGCATGTCCACCAGCAGATGGCGCAAGGGCCTGGGAGCCGCCAGATTTGATTAAGCCCCCCTCCCCTGGAGAGGGCTCCCCTTAATCAGTCAGAAGCCAATCACACCATTGGGCTTTGGGCTGTCGAATAAAAATCCCTGTGTTATTTTCTTTCAAGGTGCAAAGAAAAAGAGGAATCAAATGAGGTTAAAAGAGGGTCCTGGCTTTCTAGCTCTTTCTATATCTGATGAAGGCACCCAAATAGCCCTGAGATGTATACTCACTCCCCTTTCCACCCAAGCAAAAGGCAGGATGTCTCCCCAAGAGCAAAGTTAGCCACTTTCTGCCAATTCCTGGGTGCTGGAGGCTGGTGAGACCCCCACAGCCTGCATCAAGCCTCACCCAGGAGGGCACAGCTCCCTGCCAGGGGCTCATAGGGACAGGCCTCTGCCCTTCAGGAAGCCTGCCCAGGCTGGAGGGGCCACCCAGGCAGGATCAGGCAGGACCCACCTGGGCCCTGGCCTGGGCACCCCTGGACCATTCCTTCAGCCTCCCACTGCCACTACGAAGGCAGAGTGACACAGCTTTGAGCCTAGACACACATGACAGCCTGCACTCCACTGAGGCAGGGGTTCATCCCAGGACACCTCTGCACCCCCAGGCACTAGTCACAGCTCCCTGCATCACAGCCAGGTGAGCCCAGGTCTCCAAGACCCTCCCAAGGGGCTTCTCCCAGAGACAAGGGGGCAGGGAAGAGGCCACTTTCTCATGGCCACTTTCCACCCATGGGTCTTAGGCACAAAGCAAGGCAGCCACCAGAGCCCCCACCCCAAAGCACTACCCTGCATGAGCAGCCCTCCCCAGCCTAGCTCCAGAAAATAGAGCTGGCAGGCAAGCTGCCCATCAATCATCTATTAATAGCAGCCATGAGCCCTGGCCCAGCCCTGGGACAAGTGAGGGCAGCGTCACCTCTAGCACTAGCTTCAGCCCTGGGGGGGTCAGGGGACAAAGCCCCAGGGCCCTCTAACCCTGGCCACCATGGCAGAGTCCTGCTGTGACCCCGTCTCTCAGGCCCCTCCTCCCGTGGGCAAACAGGCAGCTCCACACCACCCCCAGCAAGCACAATCTGAGGGAAAGATGGCCCTCCTCACCCCCACTCTACCCTCATCTGTCATCCAGATCCCCAAGACATGCATCCCCCTTGCTCCGGAGGAGATAAACTGAGCCCCACACTCAGCGGTCAGGGAAGCAGTAGCCCCAGCCCATCTGACACACGGGAGCCAAGTCTTGGTGGGGTTCGGGGGCTCACCTCAGCCGCCTCCTTCTCAAACTTCTCAATAGTCCTCTTGTCGATGCCCCCACATTTGTAGATGAGGTGACCCGTTGTGGTGGACTTGCCTGAGTCCACGTGGCCGATGACCACAATGTTGATGTGAGTCTTCTCCTTGCCCATTCTGCCCAGGTGGGGGGAGGCTGGCACGGGGGCTCTGGCTTGGGGTGGGGGGTGCTGAGCAGGGATTCTGTGGGGCCAGTGATGGGGGAGATGAGTGAGGAGGAGGCCTGGGGGAGCCCAGCCGAGACACCTGTCTGGCACAGGTTGGAAGTCTCCAGGCAGAGCCCCACAGGGGTAGGAAAGGGGTCCCCAAACCCTGGGCCTGGCCCAGCCAAGAGGGAGCGCCAGTGCAGGCCCCGTGCTCTCCCCACTCAGCACAGTCACCCAAAGGGTCCAGTCTGCTGGAAACGCCTGGGCATTCAAGCCCAAGGGTGCCTGAGCCCAGGCGGGAGTTAACTGCGGTCTGGAGAGCGAAGAGCAGCAGGCTGGAAGCCACATGGGCAGCCAGGAGCAGAGGATGAGTCACCCGGCAAGGTCTCTGCTGCCCTGTCCTCCCAGTCCTCCGTCCTGCCTGCCCCCCATGGTGCACCCCCACCGCCCCATCCAGGGTCTGGCGCCCCACCCCCACTCGCTGCCTTATGGAGCAATGGCCAGCGCTCCCCACTCCCCTCCTCAGGAGGGCGGGCGCCATCTTCCTCTCATCCCTACCCGCAGCCTGGCACTGGGGACAGGCGATGCGGTGCCCAGATCAGGGCCCAGAATAGCTCTTGCCTCCCCATATCTAAGCAGAGGACAGAGACGGGGCCAGGAGGTGGGATCCCCGTTCTCGCCAGAGGAGGAAGGGTTAGGCCGGGCCGCCCTCAGCAACTGCCCGTCCAACCCGGGTCTGAGCCCCTTCTCGGTGCCAGAGGTCAACAAGAAAGGCAGGCCGCCCAAGGGTGGACCGGTAGCAGGAGGAGGAAAGGACAGGAATGAGGGCATCGCGAGCTGAAGCCCCCACCCCACCCTAGCCTCACACCTGCTCTGCCCCTCTGGGCCGAGTAGCCAGGCACCCTCTGGAGAGCCCCGGCCCCACCGGCCCCGGCACTGGCGACGCTGCCCAGCTCCGCAGGACCTGGGCGGCCA